GATTTGAAGGCACAAGGGTGTAGAAGGGCCCCACACCACTCCCCTCCCGCCCCCATCCCGACCACACCGCCGCCCCAGAGGGCATAAACCCCGTGATTGACTCCCGTGAACGGCCGTTCACAGGATTTAGGTCTGGTGACCGGCCGGTCATGGGTGGGCGACCGGTGCCGGTCACGTTCACGGGGCAGGCACTGGCAAGGACTTTGTGAAGGACTACGTCGCAGAGTGTCCCACCTGTGAGAAGGTGAACAATGCGAACCACTTGCCTTATGATTTGCGCCAACCTTTTCCTATCCCTGAGGGTCGTTGGCAGTCCATCTCGATGGACTTTATCGGTCCTCTTCGTCCTCCGACCCCTTGCGGTCATGATGTTATCCTGGTCGTCGTCGATCACTTAACAAAGCGTGCACGCTTTGTTCCGTGCCACTATGCCATCAGTGCACGTGAGGTCGCCGACATTGTGTTTGACGGAGTGGTGCGTGACCACGACTTACCTCTAAGCATCATATCTGACCGTGAGTGACCCGCGCTTTACCAACCGATTCTGGCGATGGCTCCACGAGGTTTACGGAACCGAGCTCCGCTTCTCCTTGTCTTACCATCCCCAGACTGATGGTCAGACAAAGGTCACGAACAAGACTGTCGGAGATATTCTTCGAAAGATTGTTCGTAACGACCAGCAGTGGGATCTCCATCTTGCCCATACGGAGATAGCCTACAACCACGCCGTCTCGCCTTCCACGGGGATGTCGCCATACTATTGCGACCTTGGTTATCACCCTCGTGTTCTCACGGACTTCCTTCGACTGTCACAGATGCACCCCAACATGAGTTGTCCTGTGCTGGATGATTGGGTTGCACACATGACGTCGATCATGAAGACCACGCATCAGCACATAGCCGCTTCCCAAATTCGCATGGCAGCACGTGTGAACCGAGCGAGGATGGATCATTCATTCAAAGTCGGTGATGATGTGCTTATCGACGCCCGCCACTTACAGCTCGAAGTGGACACGCTTCACAAGTTTCGGCGTCGCTGCTTTGGCCCATGCCACATTCTCCAGGCCTTTGGTTTTGATACGACATCTAGCCCAGTCAACTTACGTGTGAAGTTGTCCGACTACCTACGCCAGGCTCGTGTGCACGATGTCTGTCACGTCTCGTTACTGCGTCCCTACCGCAGACCGTCTGAGCGTTTCGCTGGACGACCATACGAGCGCCCTCCACCCATCATGGTGGACGACCACGAGGAGTTGCTCGTTTCAGACATCATTGGTCACACTGCCAGAGTCATCGGCAACAACCCTTCCCATGTCGAGTATCTCGCACGTTGGAAGGGTTACCTTGATGAGGAAGCTAATTGGGAGTCCCTCGACCACTTGCAACATGCTCGCATGTTGGTGTGTGCCTATGACCGTGCTCGTCACGCTGGGTTGACTGGTCCTCCTCAACCCACTGACCCTCCTCCTTCTCCCTCGGTTGAGGAGACCGCTGAAGTTGAGCCTGGTCCATCTGAKGCAGACCTTCAGCAGCAGCCGGATGTTTCTAAGCCTCCACAGCGCACTCGTCGTTGTCCTGCTCGATACGACGATTGGCTCTGACTTATCTTCCCACGTCTTTGACTTCTCAGTACTCCATCCACTCCATTCCACTTCAGCTCGTCGACGTTGGGGCTCTTCCTCGACGACATTCTGGACTTTTCATCATGAACGTCATCAACAGCTTCATGGACTTCATCACTTTCAGCTCTGCCTACTTCAGACGTCGTCACTCTCTTACCACCTTACCCTGTACAGTACCCTGGTTGTGTCGCATGATGGTCTCCCTTCGCCGGGTTCCTCTGAGTTGGGCTCTCCATTGGTATACACAGGCATCAGGACCGTTGCGTCGCCTTGGCTTCCTAGCCTACGGATCCAGCTCCGACTTCCCCACCTTAGGAGTTATTTGCATGATTCCCTTACCCATCACTTTTTCTACCCCCTGTCGGCCCTCATGCCCTAGTCAGGCAGCCTCGCATGCTTCATCTAGGTGCGCCCAGTATACCAGGCTCCCTTGTTCCCTTGCATGATCGACCCTCCATGGCGGTCACCCCTTTAGTCGAGCATTACCCGCCCTAATGGTCTATCTGTTAGGGTCATTGGTTCTGTTCGCTGCCAGTTCCCTACCCTCATTGAGCCTGATGACATGTGTCCTCCTGTCATTATGTGTGGATGCCCTTAAGAGCTATCGACCCCTAAGCTGCATTTCGCCACCCTCAGAGACCATCCCACCCTTTGGTTTGCGACGCACTCCTCCTGTGACATATGGTTGTCTTGTTGTTGCTTTGTTGCTCTCAGACTGAGGCTACTTCCTCCGACATTTCTAGGATTTAGTTGTTCTACTTTTGCTGTTCTTAGGACTTATACACTAGTCAGTTGTTTCCAGACTGAGGCTACTGCCTCGAACATTCTAGGATCTAGCTGACATTACTTTCTGCTTTCCTAGGACATGTATGCTAGTTAGTTGGTTCTACTTTTACTTGGGCTGTTAGCTGTGACATTGCTGTTTTTGTGACATTTTCTATCCTAGGTTGCATCGCATGGACTCAACATGGAGCTTGCTACGCATCCTAGACTGCTCACGCTTTCTTTTTCTCTGGTAGGGTTCCGCTTCTTGGCGGAAGCGTGCTTGTATGTAGGCGATTCATCACAGGTTGAGGATCGTGTAGCGGACCTCTGGTTGGCCTGTGAGACCAGCCCCTTGGCCTGTTCTCACAATCCTGTGTTTTATTCGGGGTAGTCCAGTCCAGGCCGGTACCTCGGTCAGTACCAGTCAGTCTGCTGGGGTATGCCCCAACTGTTGTATGTTTGTGAGATTCATTCTACATTCGCACACTTTGGAGTACGTAAGTTGGAGTCTACCGTGGGAGCTGCGCTGTGCCATCTCGCTCCCCTTTCTTCCTCCATCTCCATCTCTATCCCAGGCGGAGTATCACACCTGGTGGGTCCGCCACATAATTTGGATGTAACGTTGAAGCAAATGTTGTTAATTTTATTCTTCTGCATAACATACATTGTTTTCAGATTTTTTGGAATTCGTTTTTTTTTTTTTTTTTTTTTTTTTTTTTTTTTTTTTTTTTTTTTTTTTTTTTTTTTTTTTTTGGGTTCCTGTTTGGCCGAACGGCCGAACGTGTCGAGAGGGGATGCTGAACGTTCGGGCATTCGGGTTCGGGTGTTCGACCCGTCCCGAACGCCGGCAACCCTGATGCAGAAAGCTTAACTGAACATTTTTTCCTCGGTATCATGTTGAAATCCTTTATTAGATTAAACTTAAAAACATAAAAAAAAAAGGATTCTTGATTTTCAATTTTGGTTCGGCTGGGCAAATGGTCACGGGCGTCTCTGGTAGCCTATACAAACATTGAATAATGGATGCAATTTACCTATGAGGCTATGACTGCCAAGAAAAACATTTATTATTACTTGGCAATTTGGCAAACGACTTTATCCCGCTTTCTCTATTGCTTGCTCTAACCTTTAAATTTCTTCCAAATCTTCCCCACTTCTCTTTTCCTTTCATCAAGGGGGGTATGACCCTCCCTTGTTGGTAAATTAATCCATCAGTAAGTAACATACTCACAAACATTGACTTCGAATTTTGGATGCTGAAATTTCGACCACCATCTGCAGGGCACATTAATTTTGGAATCGGAGACCTCGAGATTGCAGAACTTTTTCACAAGACTTTGAGGGACTTTCATGTTTTCTTCTTGAACTGCAGCCTGATTTCCCAAAAGTGATATGAGAAGAACCGCAGCCCAGTGCCAGAACCCTTGTCAGTGGTAGAGGGGTACTACTCGAACTGTGCATTTCTCCGGCTCCGTTGACAAGTCGTGGACCGTCTGTTTGCCCGTAAGGTTAAGCAGAGTTAAAAGAGAGTTCCAAAATTGATTTCACAGGGTGACGGGTCCCTTCGCTTGGAAGCAGTAATCAGAGTTGGACTCCTAAGACTATCATTGCATGATGGGGGATGGTAATGGAACAGGTGACCTTCAACTGCTGACAAAGTTTGAGAGGAAAGGAAATGACATATTGGATGGTGGTTGTGAATGGAAGTTGATTATCCACCTGCATCCTACTAAGCCATGGGCCATATTTACACCTGACCAAAAGTCAGTGCAAGTGTGGAGCTGTGAGGATGGAACACAGGTTGACTCTTGGGTAATCCCTTATGTGACAGATGCTTGGGAAGTTGCATTTACTGGACAGAAAGACTGGATTCTGGTGAAGCGAGATAAGAGCCTTGAGGTGTATGAAAGGCAAGGGTCCAACGTGCGGTGTATAAAGGTGCTAACCACAGAAACTGGTGAAAAGCAAACCTATCGAATGGCAATCCATCCGACCTTGCCTTGTTTATTGGCGAGTTTTGGAGGTCAGAAAAATATTTATATGTGGCGGTGGCACCCTGAATGGGAGAAGGTAACATTTGGAGGATATTCCACTGAGGTATTTCGAGTGGTGTTTCATCCGACGGAGCCACAGATCCTTGCAGGCGCGGATGATAATGAAATCAAAGTATGGAACATGGAGAAAAGGTGTGTTATCCAAACCCTGAAGGATAGCGGCGAGGGGTGGGTGTTTCGTCTGGGATTTGGCACTGGGCTCCAAAAGTCTCTTCTGATCTCATCCCGCCTTTACGAAGGGAGTGTCCGGGTCTGGGACTACGAGAGAGGGGTCTGCATACTGAAATGGGAAGCGCACAAGCAACCAGTAGTATCAGCCTTTTTTCATCCACGCTTGCCATACATATTCACTGCAGCAAGCGATGGAGAAATAAAAGTCTGGAGCAACTCACACTTAGTCCACCGGCTAGTCCTATCCTACAATTGTCCATGGAATGGGGAGGTTCGGCGGATGCATCCATGCGAGAAGTCTAACTTGCTTGTTCTTAGCGGTAAGGGCGAGTTCCGTGTACTTCAAGTAACTTGTACTCTGATGGGGTTAACGGAGAAGATTGAGCAAGTGTTTGAAGAATTGGAAGCAGAGCGTCAGGGAGTCCAGAAGCTGGAGAAAGAGTTAAGACAAAAGATTCAGGAGGTGGAAAAGAAAATGGCAGGAGAGGCTAAGTTGAAGGCACATCTTGCAGATAGGATCTCTCAACTGTGTCAGCTTGTGTCTGAAAGAGAAAGACAAGCACAGAAAGACGCGACGTCCAGAGCAGATTTGGAGCAAAGAATCTCTAAGCTGGAGTCTGAGAGAGAGAGACTGGCCAAGAAAGTTCAGGAAATTGAGAAAAGATTGCAAGAAGATGTTGGTGATGTGGAGACAATTTGCATTCCTTTGCTCCAAGAGTTTTCAAGCGAGGAAATCCAGGTTGCTACAGAAAATCTTGTTGTGAAGTGGAAGTTTGAACAGGGGGATCAGCATGAAGATGTATATCGGGGAAAACTGAGCGATGGCACTCTTGTTATGGTGAAGAAGATGAGAGATGCAAGTATGCAAGCGATTTCTCACGACACGTTGAAGTCAAAGGTCGTCGATAGGTTGAGATTGCTTCGGCATCCCCATGTCTTGACCCTGCTAGGAGTCTGCTACGAAGAGAGTTGTCTGGTTTACGAGTATATGGCACGTGGAACTGTGAAAGATTGGATCTCATGTACAAGACAAAGCGCATGGTATGCCCGCTTCCGCGTAATGGCAGAGGTTGCTAGAGGACTGTGCTTCCTCCATTCCGATCCGCTGGGCACTGGTGGTCCCATCATCCACTCTGCCATCACATCAACAACCATCTTTCTGGATGACAACTTTGTTGCAAGGATTGGTTATGTTGATCGCGCGCTGCTCGATTCAGAACCTGCCCAAGGAGCGGAGAAGAGAGAGGCGGTCTCTCAACTGTTCAACAAACATAACTCCCACTATGTTGCTCCAGAGTACTGGCATTCCCAAGCTTTCAATGAGAAGACAGATGTCTTTGCCTTCGGCATCACTCTTCTGGAGATGCTCACTGGAAATTTCTCAAATGCATTCGAAGTTATTGAGGAAGCTATTGAAGATGATAATGCCTTTCAGAATGCTCTGGATCGCAATGCAGGTGATTGGGATTTCGGTCTGGCTCAGAAAGTGGCGAGCTTGGGTTTGTGTTGTGCCAGCTACAACAGACGCAAGCGACCAAACATGACGGCACCCGACACAGGCATCCTAGCCATACTGGAGGGAGTTGCAAGCAAGGTAGAGCTCGCAGCATCCATGGAAAATGAATAGAAAGTTGGGGGTGTGTCTGTCTGATGATACATAGCAGGCCAGGCGACAATATTGCCAGTGGGGGTCAGGGCATAGTCCTGCAATGGATGCCTAAGTGCAGGTTTGGCTCCCTGTTGTCTTTTTTTTTTTTTGCAATCTCTTCTTGACATCCTGTTTTCTTTTTCGCTTTTCCCCAAATTGAATCTTTTCCTCTGAGAGAGAGAGAGGCGTCGTAGGGGACATTCATATGATGTCAGCAAGTCAGTGACTTGAATTGTTGGGACTCCCGACAAGCAGGCCCATCAAGGGCTGATATAGATATTCTGAGGAGATTGGATTTGAGATGCCCTTGCTGGATGAACCTGAGCCATGGAAAGTCCTGAACCCCCTTTGGAGGCAATCCATTGGCAAGCGATGGGAAGCCTTGCACCTGAGTCCGAGTTACATGCAGTGCCGAAACCTGCAACGTCCAGGGCTGACTTGAGGTTGGAGGTCCACTGAGCTTCTAAGACAGGGCTGCATCCTTTTCCAAGTTCTCTTTTTGGTTGTGCAGATCTAAATTGTTCTGGTCAGTCAGGATGGTGTCAGCTTGGATCAGGCAGGATCATCCGTTTTGCTCGATAGCATCATAATTGACGTTCTTTGGTGGACGAGAATGATAACTGTTAGTGTAAACTTACTAGACTCCTACTATTCAAGTGCGGCTGTTGATCAACGTTGTGCCGAGTTATGGTTGCGAAGGATTTCAATATGCATAACAGGACATTGTCAAGATCTACGGGTTATAATTGTAGATTAAGTGTTGAGGGGCCCTTGCATGTTGCAGGCTGTGACTGCTGGGGAGGTCCTGGAGTATTTTGTACGAGGACAACGGACAACAGACTTGTAGAATAGACATTGACGTCTTTTTTTTTTCACTAGAAGACAGCTGAGGGTGGGTTTCACCATTAGAGATTGGGCCATTTCAGCAGCTAGTAAGGAAGTACAGGTGTCGTACTGCCAAGGGATAGGGATTCCAGTATGCAAAATGTAATGACCCACCAAAACACAGTCTAAGAACGCTGCTGATTTCTGGGATTTGCCGCTGGAATGTATGCCTCGCTGAGATTCCCACATTCTGCTGTGATTTCTAAGTCTGTGTGCGTGCGTGCCTGCTGGTCTGTGTGCCTGTCTGAGTGGTTGACGGCCTGAGTGTGTGTGTGACCCGCAAGGGTGCTTGTACTTACCTGTGGCCGTGGCGTTGAGGGTTGCAGCGGGGGAAAACACTCAAGTGGCGGGGGTAAGCCCGCAAAACTTAAAGCAGCGAGAAAAACACTCAAGTAGCAGATAGGCCGATACCACCACTCAAGTAGTGGTAGAAGTGTCGGGTACTGGAGGCCGAGAAGAAGAAGAAAAAACGTTGGCATTTTTAGAGGCCCAGTAGCGGTAGGTTAAAGGTAGGCCGGAACCAGTCCAAGCAGAGTCTAGGGCCTGTACGGATGGTATCAGAGCCTGCAATGGTGTTTCCCTCTGAAAGGGAGGAGGTACCGGTCACTGGGAGGCCGTGCGGCCTAGGAAGTCACCGCCCAAGAGGCAAGTAGGCCGCTATATCTTCAGGAGGAGCAAGTAGCTCCTCCTCATTTCTGGTGTGCAAGGGTTGGCAACATACTGCTGGAGCCAAGCGCTAGACTTGGAGCGCTGCCTGGAGGAGGAGAGCAGCTGGGAGCTCAGCCTGGCTATGGCGAGCAGCCCAGCCTGCGGAGGAGGAAGAAGGGGGGCGAAGGAGGAAAGTGGCGAGGTACCTACCTTGCTATGGTGGACACCATCTTCGTCACCTTGTTAGGCGCTGCATCTGGAAGGCCCCAGTTGGGGTAGTGCCGCACCAAGGAAGGTCAAGGCAGAGTCGGGCATGGCGGCATGAGGAGCAGCGGCATAGCTGCTTTGTGTTGTCCTTTGGACAGGAGGGCAGAGCCCTTAGTAGTCCACCATAGCCTAGGCATGTGAGAGGAGGAAGAAGGGGGGAAGCCATGGCTATAGTGGACCTGTTCTTGTGCTGGCAGTAAGAGGGAACTTCGGATACTGATTCGGGTTCATTCACTCGTTGTTATTATTATTATTGGAAGAAGAATAAGATTGGGCAAGTGAAGGAGGAGGACAAAGGTGGAGAGAGAAGGGGGATTTGTCATTGGTCTTGCTTGTGTACATCTTCTTCTTCTTCTTCTTCTTCTTCTTTCTCTCTTCTTTGGCCTCTATCTCTTTCCAAGTGCTTTCATTTCTTTCGCAATTGGGTGGCATTGTCTTTCCTTGTGAATTTGCACTTTGGAAGTGACCAGGATGGTAACAAAAACCCCTTTTCCGATTTTCTATGCTTGAATTAGTTCTTTTTCTGTTTGTTTTTTCCCCCCCGGAAAATTCAATGAGAACTTCGGAATTTGTGACTTGTCCCAACCAGGCATTGTTGAGAAGGATGAGCTCTATCGGTTTCCCGTTTCCGGTTCAGTATTCTCAGGAATATACGACTGTGTTCAGAGGAATATCATGAATAATTGGTTTTGCTGAATTGCATTGTCTGTGTAATAACAGGGTACCTCTTCTGGAACCATCTGACAGTCCTATCGTGTTTGTCTGTTGGTTTGTATGGTCTATAACTGCTCCTCCTCTTTTCTGTTCCTGGAACAATAAACAGCTCATCTGCACTTCACTGTGTGGGAAGCCTGTCATACTGCAGATGAGTTTCAAACAGGTGCCGCATGTATGGGGCCCACTGGGGGCAGCAACCCACTACTAAACATCATGATGACAGACATTTCCCAATGCCCAGTGCACAGGACCAGTGTTTGTGAGCCTTCCATATTGTATTGGCACATTGCGTCCTCAACAAGGATCAAGCCTCACATGGTGTGCAGACGTGTGCTATACTGTACTACGTAAGAGTGTCCTTTGCATTGCTTTGTCCGGAGGGTGCAACCGCTGACAGGATCACAACTCATGATCTGTTTATTAACCGTTCCATCTATTTAATGTGAACTATCAGGCCACATGAGTGGGTGAAGTCCGGGGACCGGAGGGGAGGCACAGCGACTGGCCCATGGTTCGGCTTAAAGAATAAGCCTTTTTCAACCAAAAAAAAAAAAGTCTCTTCCATTCTTTCCCTTCCTTTTTTT